TTCCTAGTTTATACAGTTTATATGTCTATACCCTTCAAAGGCATTCTTTTTTTAAAAAATTTTACCGAAGTACAGTTGATTTACAATGTTATGTTAATGTCAGCTATACAGCAAAGTGACTCAGTTATACATATACATAAATTCTTTTTCATATTCTTTTCCATTATGGTTTATCACAGGATACTGAACATAGTTCCCTGTGCTATACAGTAGGACCTTGCTGTTTATCCATTCTAGATGCACCAGTTTGCATCTGCTAATCCCAAACTCCCAGCCCATCCCTCCCCCACACCCCTCCCACTTGGCAACCACAAGACTGTTCTCTTCATAGGCATTCTTACTCAAAAAAATCACCTATGGGCTTCCCTGGTGGCGCAGTGGTTGAGAGTCCGCCTGCCGATGCAGGGGACGCGGGTTCGTGCCCCGGTCCGGGAAGATCCCACATGCCGCGGAGCGGCTAGGCCCGTGAGCCATGGCCACTGAGCCTGCGCTCCGCAGCGGGAGAGGCCACAGCAGTGAGAGGCCCGCGTATGCAAAAAAAGAAAAAAAAAATCACCTATGTGCTAATATTCCAAGCCTCTGTTGTGAGAACTCATTTACTACTGTGGTTTCAATTACCATCAATTACCAATGAATTTCAAACCACTCTTTCAAAGTTCTACTATCTGAGCTCAAGATTCACACATAAAACTGCTTGCTAGACATGGGTCATCCAAATGAAAATGGAATCCTTCACCTATCTAAAACTAGTCTCATCTAACTTTTCCCTCCAAACCTGTCCCATTCACCATTTACCTTGCGGCCTAAGTCAGAACACCTATGTGTCAGAAAGCTTACCTGTTCTGTAAAGGATGTTTAATATAGTGCTCTGGGTTAGCAACCTCCTGATTAGATTCTGTTTTCTCTTCTTCTGTAGGTGGGGGATTAGGAGTAGGGGTGGTTTCCTAGTGGAAAATAATTAAACATTATGAACTTCTTAACATGAAATAACATTAAGAAATTTCTTTATTTTTAAATTTTTATTGAAATATAGTTAATTCACAATGCTGTGTAAAATTAATTCCTATGACAGCAATACTCTAAATAAATTTGAACCAATATTGTCCATATTTTTTTTAAGGAGAATGAATTAACAGAAGCACGGGATAAAATAGACCACAGATCAAACTCTAAGCACCAGACTCTTCATTCTAGCATCTCTTCATTATGAGCAAAAGGTTTCTCAAATTTAAAAACATAATAATAATAATTTTGTATATTGTTATCTTCCACTTACACATTTTAATATAAGATTGTTAGAGACCATGGAAAAAAGTTGGGAAAATCAAGTACCTTTCTTAACATACTAAACACGGTGCATAGTGGGAGTGGGGGAGATACAACTAAAGTTTGGAGAGTATATTAACTATATCACAATGACACAAACACAAAAATCTTTATAAAGTGATCAAGGCAATACTACACAGGTCCTTGCTTTCATGTTACACTATTATATATGGTGACAAAGTCCAGCAACTTCTGTCATTTTCAATTGGCCCTAAGCAAAAAAGCTGGACATTGGCTTGAACTTAAATTCTTCTAGGCTAGACATAACTGTCATCTAAAAATGTCAGGGAAAAAGGGAGGCTGGGAATAATAAGTGTTCTCCACATTAATCCATGTAACTCTTCACCCTACTGTAAATTGGTATCAACAGATAGCTAAGAAAAGGGACCAGAAGCTGAAACAAAAGCTGATACAAAAAAGGAGGGCACTGCAACAAGGGTTTGGATATCAGATTTAAATCCAACTAGCAAGACAATACAGATATATGTTCACATTAACAACATTCTGTAAATCAGAGATGTATGGTCTAAAAAAATGACTTCAGGAGCAGACAGGTGATACACATTTTACAAAATAAAATACATTTTTCTTATCAACAAGACACCTCCAGTAAGTACTTTTCACTAGCGTATAAAGTCACTCATAGCAAGGGCTTTATCTTGATTTTGCTCACAACTGTAATGCCAATGATCACAACGCTACACCAATAAGAACTTACTGGCTTGATTACTTAACTGAATAAATTTAAATGCTTACACAGAGCAGTTAAGGCCATAATATTTACACAGAGTAGCCAATGCCTTAATAGCACCAGAGCACCAATCATTTTTACCAGCATTTCCTCATCACAATCAATTTACATGTTCAAATAGATGATCATTACCAAATGCCATTCCTTACTCTACTAGCTTAAAATTAATAATGGTCTCCAGACAGAGGTAGTCTGAGTGAACAGAGAAAATAGCCAACAGTTAGGGACTGATAAGGCAGGGGGTTTGGGGGACAGGGTACCAGAGAAAAGTGAGCTGCAGAGGAGTGAGCCTCAAAAATCTATGTAAAAATCCCTGAAGTCCTTGGCTGTGACTCCTAAACTGAGATGTTCGGAGTGCAACTCCGGGTAGTCTAGCAGGGAACAGCTGAGCCAAGACTTCAGAACCTGAACAGCATTAGGAAGACTAGTTCAGACCCAGCCAGAGGGAATGGTTGAAAACCCTCAACTTTCAGATGAAATCCTAGAAAGGCCATGTCCCAGGTATCAAGTGAAATACATAATCCCTGACAGGATCAAGGGAATCTACTGATAAATAAATTAACTGCCCCCAAGAACCAGACTCTATACTCTGGAGGAAAATAACAGAAGTGTGAGCCTCTATGAATATTATCTACAATACCTAGCAAACAATCAAACATTATTAGACATGCAAAGAAAATTTTTTATAGCAACTAATGATCAAGAGATTAAACTGTCCATAGAAAGGCATCCAGATAACAGATACATGATCCAGATAACAGAGTTAGCAGACAAAGTCTTAATAACTATGACTACTATGGTAAAATAGAAGCTGGAGGGAACTTCCTGGTGGTCCAGTGGTTAAGACTTGGTGCTTTCACTGCCAGGGCTGGGTCTGATCCCTGGTCAGGGAACTAAGATCCCACAAGCCGCATGGTATGGCCAAAAATATAAACAAATGAACAAACAAACAAATAAATCAATAAAATAGAAGATGGGGAAAAAGGATAGAAAAAACAGGAGTATTTGAAAAGGGAATTGAAATCAATTTTTAAAAAGAATCAAATAGACACTAATGAAGTGCCAACTACAATGTCTGAAATTGAGAGCTTATTGAATAACAAGAAACTCGACTTAGCAGAATGTAGGACTGGTGAACTTCAAAGACAGGTCAATAGAAAATATTCAAATAATCACAGAGGAGGGGAAAACAGATAGAAATGTCAAGATGGTTAAAAAGTTCAAGGACAAGGATAAGAGAGAATGGGACAGAAGGAATACAGAAAGAAAGAATAACCAAAATTTACCAAATTGCATGAGGGACTCAAGTCAGATTAAAAAAACTGAGGCAACTCCAAGCAGTATAAATACAAACAAAACTACACCTGGGGGATTTCCCTGGCGGTCCAGTGGTTAGGACTTCGCCTTCCAATGTAGGGGGTGCAGGTTCAATCCCTGGTCAGGGAGCTAAGATCCCACATGCCTCATAGCCAAGAAACCAAAACATAAAAAAAAAAAAAGAAGCAGTATTGTAACAAATTCAATAAAGACTTAAAAAATGGTCCACCGCCAAAAAAAAAAAAACTACACCTCGGCACATTAGACTCAAACTACTGAAAACTAAAGGAGGCAATATTAAAAGCAGTTAGGAAGAAAAATTTTAAAAAGACACATACACATTACTTTCAAAGGAACAATAAGAATAACTGCTAACTTCTCAAAAGAAATTATGGAAACCATCAGACAACAGAATAACATCCTTGTGCTGAAGGGAAAAAACTGTCAACACTGAATTCAGTGCCTAGGAGGGGACTTTCCTGGTGGTCCAGTGGCTAAGACTCTGCACTCCCAATGCAAGGGTCCCGGGTTCAATCCAGGGTCAGGAAACTAGATCCCACATGACACAGCTAAGAGATTAGAAATGAATGACAGGAAAAAAAAGTAAAAAACATAAACACATGGAGACTAAACAATACATTACTAAATAACCGAGAGATCACTGAAAAAATCAAAGAGGAAATCAAAAAATACCTAGAGACAAATTGCAACGAAAACACGACCATCCAAAACCTATGGGATGCAGCAAAAGCAGTTCTAAGTGGGAAGTTTATAGCTATACAAGCCTACCTCAAGAAATAAGAAAAATCTCAAATAAATAATCTAACCTTACACCTAAAGGAACTAGAAAAAGAAGAACAAACAAAACCCAAAGTTAGCAGAAGGAAAGACATCATGAAGATCAGAGCATAAATAAATGAAATAGACACACAAAAAAAAACAATAGCAAAGATCAATAAAACTAAAAGCTGGTTCTTTGAGAAGATACACAAATCTGATAAACCATTAGCCAGACTCATCAAGAAAAAGAGGGAGAGGACTCAAATCAATAAAATTAGAAATGAAAAAGGAGAAGTGACAACAGACACCACAGAAATACAAAGCATCCAAAGAGACTACTACAAACAACTCTATGCCAATAAAATGGACAACCTGGAAGAAATGGACAAATTCTTAGAAAGGTATAACCTACCAAGACTGAACCAGGAAGAAATAGAAAATATGAACAGACCAATCACAAGTAATGAAATTGAAACTGTGATTCAAAATCCTCCAACAAACAAAAGCCCAGGACCAGATGGATTCACAAAGACCTAACACCCATCCTTCTCAAACTCTTCCAAAAAATTGCAGAGGAAGGAACACTCCCAGACTCATTCTATGAGGCCACCATCACCCTGATACCAAAACCAGACAAAGATACTATAAAAGAAGAAAATTACAGACCAATATCACTGATGAATATAGATGTAAAAATCCTGAACAAAAACACTAGCAAACAGAATCCAACACCACATTAAAAGGATCATACACCATGATCAAGTGGCATTTATCCCAGGGATGCAAGGATTCTTCAATATACACAAATCAACAATGTGATACACCATATTAACCAACTGAAGAATGAAACCCATACCATCTCAATAGATGCAGAAAAAACTTTCTTTCACCACCCATTTACGATAAAAACTCTGCAGAAAGTGGGCATAGAGGGAACCTATCTCAATATAATAAAGGCCATATACGACAAACCCATAGCAAACATCATTCTCAATGGTGAAAAACTGAAAGCATTTCCTCTAAGATCAGTAACAAGACAAGGATGTCCACTCTCACCACTATCATTTAACATAGTTTTGGAAGTCCTAGCCTCAGCAAACAGAGAAGAAAAAGAAATAAAAGGAATACAAATTGGAAAAGAAGAAGTAAAATTGTCACTGTTTGCAGATGACGTGATACTATACATAGAGAACCCTAAAGATGCCACCAGAAAACTACTAGAGTTAATCAATGCATTTGGTAAAGTTGCAGGATACAAAATTAATACACAGAAATCTCTTGCATTCCTATACACTAATGATGAAAAATCTGAAAGAGAAATTAAGGAAACACTTCCATTTACTACTGCAACAAAAAGAATAAAATAACTAGGAATAAACCTACCTAGGGAGACAAAAGACCTGTATGCATAGAACTATAAGACACTGATGAAAGAAATTAAAGTTGATACCAAGAGACGGAGAGATATAGCATGTTCTTGGATTGCAAGAATCAATACTGTGAAAATGACTATACTACCCAAAGCAACCTACAGATTCAATGCAATCCCTATCAAATTACCAATGGCATTTTTTACAGAACTAGAACAAAAAATCTTAAAATTTGTATGGAGACACAAAAGACCCCGAATAGCCAAAGCAGTCTTGAGGGAAAAAAACAGAGCTGGAGGAATCAGACTCCCCGACTTCAGACTATACTACAAAGCTACAGTAATCAAGACAGTATGGTACTGGCACAACAGAAATATAGGTCAATGGCACAGGATATAAT